ACAGCCCCTATTAGACAGATTTTTAACATTACTGATTTTAATGTAAATGTCATTAATTTTAATGTTTTTAAATCATATTCTATTGCTCTAATGAAGTTTATCAATGAAAATAGGGCATTAGTAGGAATCTTTTGTTAAAATTGAATTTTGTATTTGTATGAGTTTTGGATATCTGTGATGTTCTATGTTGTGAATTTGTGTCTATGGATTTTTTTTGTTTGTTTGTTAGTCTGTAATTTTGTGTTAGGTGTGCTTATTTATTTTTGATTTAGTATTTTCGTTTGTTGTTTGGGGGTGGCTGGGTTACTGGCTGCCCTCATTTGTAGAGATACGGGGCCCCTTCTTTTGAGCTATGGGGACACTCATGGCCAGGTGGGCTGAAGGGAGCCTCCAATTCTTACCTTCAGCTAGCTGCATCTTGCTGGTGCTATCTTCCATTCTGCACAGGGCATCTGAAATGAGGTTAATTGGGGTTTGGACTCGCGGCTAGTTTCTGGCTTTGAAAAACTACCAAAAATGGTGCAGAAAATCATAGATTTGGGTGATGATTACTACCCGCACTAAAGGTACTGCTTTCATGTTTTTTGGCTGATATTATTCCAAGGTCAAAGTGAAATATGAGTTGCTGAATCCGGTTGTACATTAAGTTACGAATTCAGCATCATGTGCCCCAGATGCAATGGAGTAACAAAGAAGTACGGAAAGACTACTGGGAAGATTACAACATTAAATCCATAATTGATTTCACAGAATCTTCAAATAGGAAACCTACCTGGCCAGATATTTTGATCTGTAATCCTAAGGCAATATAAGTAATATTGGGCTCTCTGAGACTTATTTCATATTTGAAACAGTTTATTGTACCAAAAGTTTGAATCAGATGAAAGGCATTTTGAGAGCAGCTAATAGTTCCATGATCCCATACATCCTTAAGGAACTGCATAACAGCCCAACAGGAGGTGCTGATATGCAAAAGTGGTGCCAATCATGTACTGCTTGTGTGGGTCAGAAAGGACCGAAGAATCGGCCAAGGGAAGCTGCAGTGTAGGAGTGCCTTTTGAAATTTTCGCCTTTCACATTCTAAAACTTCTGTTACGAACTGCCGATGACAACAAATACAGCCTCATTCTCTTTGCTTACTTTAAAGTGACCTGAAGCATATCCTATCCTTGATCAAAAGGCTGTAACGGTAGCGGAGGTAATGACACAGAATGAGATTTCCAGGTTTGAAATGCGTTTTCAATTACATTCCGATCAAGAAAGGAATTTCATCTCAACTGCAATGAAAGAACTCTTCAAGTTACTTGGTATTGGCAAAAGGAAAATGACACCTTTCCATCTCCAATCAGACAACATGGTAGAGAGATTTAATTAAACCATCCTCAATAATGATTGATGGTTTCCAGAAAAAGGGTTCTAAATGTGATGCAATGCAGATATGCCTTTGCTGTGGTTGGTCTGAAGTTGGTACTGAAGTAAGAACATTTCAGCCAGTAAAAATAATAAACTAGAAAAAAATGAAAGAAAGAAGAATCACATCTCTCCAGAAAATTCTGGAACAGTTTCTCGGGTTGCCACAAAGCTTTCAGAAAAGGAGATGCATGGATGTTATTATTGATGGTATATTGGAGAATGCTAACTAATACCCAAGTATCAGTTTAATTTCAAATGATTTCTTTAAAGTGTGTATATTTTGCAGCCTAGTTCAAAGTCACTTAAACTGGCTGCCATTAAATAGAGGAAGTAAATACCAATACCGCTGAGCAGTTGGAAATCACATGTAATCAATTTAGAAATAACTTAGTTTAAACTGAGAGCACTAAATATGCCAAACACTGAAGTGAAATCTACATACTTTATGTATATTTAAAATTTTATTTTTACCAATATAAAGCAGTTTTGTTTTAAAATTATTTTAGTAATTTCTCATGTAAAATTAGTTTTGCAAGGAAATTGGGATAAAAAGAGCATTTTTAATACTTTTTTAATGTTGCATGTTGTATCTATGACACAAATTAATTTGAAAAAGCTTTTCTAATTTTTAGATTTAAATTAATCAAAAAAAAGTTTCTTTCATTGGAATATTAACCCATAACAGGGGATGTGCGGTCTGATAGACTGCACCACATGTTCCTCCCATCACCCCTATTGCATGCTTTGTCCAATTGAATGGATTCTTCCCCTAGCTTCATGTTTCGTGACCTTCTTTCTGACCCCTTCTTATTCAAAATGCTTTGGCATGTGTATCTGTTGAAAGTTCTTCTAGAGCGGTCTGTGAGACCTCACCTCCTCTCTCAGTGTTACAGTTTTTTCAGCAGTAGTGAACACATGGCTCTGAAGTTAGGTCCTGCGGAGATTCATTATCCTTGATCCACGTTATGCAGAAGAACTGAAAAAAATTCTAGACGAAGTTGGAAGTGATTTTAGTGAAGAAGATGACTGTGAAGAAAATTTCTGTGAAAGTGCCCACTCAACAGACTCTGAATTTTCTGCAGACAGCAATGATTTCTCTGATCTAGAAGCAACTAATTCCATAAAATGCTACTATGGAAAAAATTGGTTCAAATGGTCATCCATCGAAAAGTTAGAAGGCCAGCTCACAATATCGTAAGACTTCCTGGACTAAGACCTTACAGAAAAATTGATAATTCAGATCCAAAAAAATGTATGGCAACTACTTTTTACTGACGAACTTTTAAGCATAATTGTGAAATAGACAAATCTAAAAATTGAAAGAAAAATAAAAAATATATGTGGTCCGATTAAAGGTGAAATTGACTACACCTGTGTTGATGAACTGAGAGTTCTTTTGGGTTTACTTATTTACACATCAGTCTTCAAATCCAATCATGAAGATATCGAATGTTTATTTGCCACGGATGGAACTGGTTGTGATATTTTTCATGCAGTTATGTCAATGAAACGTTTTAAATTTTTACTTTCAAATTTGCGATTTGATAACCCAGATGATAGGGAAGAACGAAAGAAATCTGATCCGGCAGCACTTATTTCTGAAGTGATGAATTTATTCATTTATAACTCCCAGAAAGTGTATACATTAAGGCACTTGCGTCTGCATTGATAAAATGCTTGTTGGATTCAGAGGAAAGTGTCGCTTTAAAATATATATGCCCCAAAAGCCCTGTGAAATATGGATTAAAAGTTATGTGTTTGACTCATGTCCGGAATAATTATGCTTACAATGCACATCTTTATTGTGGAAAAGACTCTGAGGGAATTAGCATAGAAGAGAGTTGGGTAAAAATTCAGCAAACCAAGTCAAGCTGTTCTACGTTTGAGCAAACCAATTTTTAATACGAACAGGAATGTAACAGCAGACAATTAGTTTTCTTCCATAGAACTTACCACAGAATTGTTGAAAAATGGACTGACATACATTGGAACTGGAAAAAAAAAAAAAAAATCTGAAAGATTTTCTTCCATGTAAGTCAAGAAAAGAGAATTCAACATTGTATGGATTTACTAAGGACATAACCTCGATTTCATTTGTTCCAAAGAAAAGGCGAGCAGTGGTTTTAATGTCATCATTGCATCATTCAATAGAAACAGACTCTGAAACACAGAAACCTGAAATAATTGCTTTTTATAACAGAATGAAAGGTGGTGTTGATGCTTTAGATGAAAAATGTTTTGTCCATTACTGTAGTAGGAGAACAACGCGTTGGCCTATTGCTCTTTTCTACCGGTTAGTAGATATGAGTACAGTAAACGCATACATTTTGCACCAAGGTTATAACCAAAACCCTGTTATGACCAGAATGGCATTTTTGAAAGAATTAGTGAGAGAATTACTCCAACCACTACTACACACAAGAGTGAAAAATCCAAGAATAAATCGAGAATTGCGCCTGACGATAAAGCGTATTTTAGGAAAAGAAGCTGAGTCTAAGGATGTGGAGCAGTGCACAAAAGAAGCAAAATTAAAATCAAGGAAAACGTCTGTGCGCCCCAAGCAAGAAAAGAAAGACAGCATATTTATGTTTATCTTGCCAAGACCCTGTTTGTTTGGAATGCATGCAAAAGTTATGCAATGAATGTGCTAAAGAAGACGAAAACTAAATTGTTTACTATCAGAAAATCAGTGAGATACTGATATTTCAGGTACTGTCAAAATTTTTCTGTATTGTGCTACATACAATTTTCTCCGGTTAAAATTTGCTTTAAATATTAAATAATATAGATAAAATAGTTAATTCAAAATAGATGCATTCTTATTTTTAGTTTTATAGAATTTAGTGCAGCATATGATTTTCATCAAAAAATTTAAGGCTATGGGGAAATTTTCTGGGAAAAATTTAATTTCACTTTAAAGTGTAAAAACATATTTTCTTTTTAGAGTAAAATGTTCAAAGAACATCTAAGTGAAATATCATGATGATATTTTAATTAGACAATTTTTTAAAATTTATTATAATGCACGGTCTCCGAGACCGCACGTCCCCTGTTATGTTCAACTTTTTAACCTTCCCTGTTACGGGTTAATAACATTTTAGCTGTAAGCTAGTGTAATTTCATTTTGAGAATTTGAATCATTTTGTTATACTTTTGTTATACCTTTAAATGTCTTTTTTAAATTATTATATTTCTGTCGGGAGGTAGTTTTTCATTTTATTTTTTAATATGAGAAAATATAGCCAATGTATTGATAGTGAGTAATATACTAGGTTTGTAATTAATAGAAATTTAAGCCCATAAAAATTCTGAGCCATTAGGAAATGAATAAGACTACTGAAAGCTGGTTGTTTCTTTAGTGCCTGAATGAGCTGTTTGCTTAGAGGTTTTGTGGCTTTGTCCATCTGTAGTATGTATGAGACATTTCTTTTTAAAAAGTCCTTCATGAAGGCATTTCTTTCTAAAGTAACTAACCTTTATGAACCTTCGCTGTGATTGAAGAATGTGTTCGTAATAAAAATGGTTAACACAAATTGAAAGAACAGAATTGATTTTTTTTTAATGCTACTTTACTTTTTAACTTTGATTTAATTTATATAGTTAAACATTTATTTAGTACTAGAAACTGAACTTTTTCCTGTCCTTTTTTTTAATAGTGTCAAATCAGATTTGGTGGAAGAACTGAATTAGCTACAGAAAATGATAGCAGGTAAAGTAAGTTGCAAGATGCATGAGGATGATTATGGCTCATTTTTATTATCTAGATGGTAAAGAGTTGAAGAATCTTACATTCCTTAAATTGGGAGGATGTGCACTTGTTTTATGGTTTAGAGCACTTTGAGATATAATGAGATACCAAAATTAAGAAAAGTATTGCATTCATTAACTGTAATGAAAAGTCATTGTCTCCGGTGGACTTTTATTTTTATTATATTTAATTCTCACTAATAAGTTGAAACATATAGGGAAAAAATTAGAACAAAATTTAAAAAAATGAATTAACACAGCAGGCATAAAATTTAATGTTGAAGAATCTTACATTCCTTAAATTGGGAGGATGTGAAACTTGTTTTATGGTTTAGAGCACTTTGAGATGTAATGAAATACCAAAATTAAGAAAAGGATTGCATTCATTAACTGTAATGAAAAGTCATTGTCTCCGGTGGACTTTTATTTTTATTATATTTAATTCTCACTAATAAGTTGAAACATAAATGAATTAACACAGCAGGCATAAAATTTAAAATTTTGTTTACAATTGTTTGTCTTTGCATACAAACATCGCCATATAAATTCAATTAAGTAAGATTCCAGATGGTTTATTGTAATTACACATTGACGTTTATTATGCCATTTTACGGAACCCCACAATCACTTTATTGTCTGCATATGGCATCCAGTTTTAGGCTCCAAAAAATTGTATGAGTGATTGACAGTAATGTTAAAATCCAGAATTTTACAGTTTTGTTTCCTTTCCAACAGTCAGAAAATATGCTACTACCATCAGCTGTATGTTCCTATATTGCGGCCATTAAAGTGGTTACTGTTCAATCTGGGACTGCAGCAAGGAAACGTTCTCTAGTTTCAAGATGTAACCCGCTGAAAACCTCGTTGAGGTGAAAGAATGCCCTCTACATGTTTTTTATTTGAGGGTGGGGAGGGCTAAAAAGACTTGTCTGTTTCAACTACTCTGTAGGCTCTTCCGATTTTTTGTTTTTTTGCTATAAAGCGCAAACTTCCGTTATATAGTTATTCCATTATGCTTTATTTGAATTTCACAAAATTCAGTCAACATTAACTCTTGACACCAAAGGTATATAAATTGTAAACCATTGAGAAAAGGGATACAGGTTCCATCAAACCAGGTTTGTGTCCGCATTTTTTTTTTTTTTTTTCTTTTTCTTTCTTTTGGGCATGATAGCCTGGCCATCTTGGTGATGAATCTCTCCCGCATAACCTCATTGGATGATCATTTGAACATTTCTCTTTGTTTACAAAGAATTCTGTTCTTTTGGAAAAATTGGGTATTTGCCTCTTTGTCTTTAGGCAATTAAGTATGTAGTCCATCTTATCATTTTAGAAAACTGTAGTTTTTCTAAAAAATGGGTTATTTAGAGTTTCTATAAATGTTAACCCTTTAAAGGTTGTTACTAACAGGTTTAAGATGATTAACTTAGTTGTAACCATCCATTTAAAAAAAGTTTTATGTTTATGTTACTTTATTAAAAATTTAGTTGCAACCATCCATTAAAAAATGAAAGTTTTCTTTATGTGATACTTCTGATAAAAGTTTAATTATAGTCCACCAGGATCAAATATTCTAGTGCCCAGCTAATAAAAAAGTACTAAAATGTAGTATTCTGCATGAATATAGGTATTTTAATAAAGTATTAAGACCAGTTTTGTAGGTAATGCTTAGTAATTAATTTTTTTAATTATCTAACATGTTTTGAAATAATATTTTGTTTGACACATTTTGTTATGTAAATAATTTAACCCAGAGTTGTAAATAAATTTAAGTTTCCATACTAATGACTGCAGAGATACTTAATAATAATTATCATTACATCTTTTCTGTGTCATCTATCATTTCTGTCTAATTACATCTTTTATGTCTGAAAATTTATATTATATATACATATATATTTATTCAAAATCTTACATAATGTTAAAAGGTGCCTGTTTATAATATTTTAGAATCAAAATTTCTTCTTCCATTCGCTTGGCTTTTGTGCCTTAAATTTCATTTGTTAGTATATTTGTATGTATGTGTCTGTGTGTATGTGTATTATATTTATATATATATGGAGTAAACATACTATTAACATGAAATAGAAGAGAAGAAGGATAGAAAGAAAAAAATGAAGAGAAATTCCTAAGTGTTATTAACAACAAGAATCAAATTTTTCTTAGACAATGAATAAAACTGAAATGAGCAAAACTATAAATTTGTGTTCATTCCAGCAATATTATTTATTTAACATGAATTTTCTAGTACTCCTAGTCTGGAAATTTGTTTAGTCTCTTTCTTAAGCATATTATTAATTAATTATTAATTAATTTCTTAAGCATATTATTATTAAGCATAATATTTAGATCCTACCATACAGTTTTGTATTTACGTTAATTTTTTATCTGGAATGAAATGATGGCTTAGTTGATGATTTGTTTTTCTAACAATCCAATCATGAAAATAATTTCTGGAACATCAAAACATTTTTTTTTAAAGTATTTCACATAACAGGGTAATACAAGTAAAGTGGCTACAGATGTCATGACTGTATATAGTTTATAGCCAGGCCATATGGATGATTAAATTACAAAAAATAATAAAAGAATTTTCAAAAAGTTAACAGAATGAGACTGTGAAGTTCAGTTTTGAAATAGCTGAGTTTTAGGATGAGTGGATGTCTCAATTTGGTCTTTTATTAGACTTGGGTTGCTAGAGAAAGCCATGCATATCTTGGCTTAACAAAGTGCTTCAAATATTTTTTAGATTTAATGTCTGATTAAGTCTGATTTTTAATTTTATTGTAATGAATGTACATTAATTAGTTAATGAATTATTAAAACAATTAAAAAAAAGAAAAAATAAATAGTTCTGTAAAGAGGCTGCATAATACATGGCTTGAGAAACTTTGAGTAGTTATTATAATGTTTGGTATATTAAGAGTTAAATTTTTATTTTAAATTACATCAATTAGTAATTTTATTAAAAATAAAGATTTAAATGCTTAATAATTGTGTTTATTACTTAAATCGATCAATTTATTCAGCAATATGGTTTGTAATTTAAAATGTTAATTGATGATAGTTCATTGTAAGAGCAGTACGAAAACCTATTTCCCAGACTTCAAGGATATTAAAGATCTTGTACATTGGGAACATTTGCCAGGTTATGTAAATGCACAGACAGCCGCCAAAATTTTGAAAAAACGCCACTAAAGAATTTATAGAGGAAAAATCCATCATGAAACCCTTCAATCTAAGTCATTTACTGAGTTTTAGTTCTAAGATTTGTTGTCTTTCACATGAAAGTTCACTAAGCGTATGACTCGCATCTGTCATTAACCCTCTGAGTGCCATGACTGGCTTTATCTTGTGCAGTCTCCGCAGGTCCGAACTTCTGCTGCTAAACACCTCTCTAAATTAAAAATTTTTGTGCCCTGGTACCTTCCTAAATTCTAAAGTTCTTTTTATCATGCTTTAATTTTGTTGTTTAGTGCTTCTCTAAATTGTAAAAATTTTGCCTTCCTAAATTCTGATGTCTGGTGTGGGCTCATCATCTCTTGCATCGGTCCTGGGCTTATCTGAATAACAAATCAGTTATTCGCAGTTAAAAGACCACAAAATGAAATCTTTTCACCTGACTCATAATTTACAAAATCTATTTGTAGAATATGGAAAGAAATTTCTTTTAAATTTCTGCTTGTCAACATACTCAGCTGCTGCATTATCGAAATCTATAATTATCGCCAACTGTAATGTCAACATGTAGAGACATTAGGTACTTTTTTCAAAGCAGGAGAGATGAAAAATGAGCAATGCCCTCTCTGGGACTCGAACCACGGACCTCTAAAATGTGCTCCAAGTGTGCTGACCACTACATCATGAAGGCATGCTAAGAAGGCTGGAGCCTAAGAACCTTATAAACATTATAGGGTTACCATGCTCTATAGTATTCAGATACTAATATTTAAAAAAGAAAATTGTTTAGACATCATTGTATGAGTCATTTCTTAAGCTATATTACATTGATAGTCATGTGATGATGAAAGAAAAAAATAATAATAAAAAAGTAAAATGATTCGCCAGCAGTGTCAGCAGTATTGATGTGAAATTAAGAATCAGGACTCTGCACATGTTTTATTATGAACAAATAGTATCAAATGTGCAATTGTAAAGCATAAAAAAAATTCTAAAGGTTGCTGCTGTTCCAGAGGTCTGGATTTCAGATCGTTCTGAATATTGGGCGTTCAGATTTTGGACTTTGTGCTGTAGTAGTTTTTATGCTGCTATTAATAGCAGTGTAAATTTCAAAATTCATGACCAGCTGTGTTGATTTATGAAATTTTGTTAGTATTTTGATTTTCAGAAATTTTTTTTTTTGGCATTTAAAAAATCTGATTAATAGTTTTCTAATTATTTCTGTTGATAGAACTAAATAATTAATTAATGAAAATTTTTGAATCCTCTAATTAAGGTCATGCAGTTAGTGGTTAGGGTATATGAATTATTAACGTGGTTATTTGCACATGTAAAATAGAAATGTATTTGTGTAGCATTTTTTCACTCATTATTATATGTAGTCGTTATTTTTCAGAGTGGTATGTTTGTGTACTCAGTTTGAAGCTGTACTGCAGCATGGAATGCGAAAAGTTGGGAAAGGTTTCTTACCACTTAGGTAAGTCACATTCTTATAAAATGTATGCCAGTAATACATCTAAAAGAGCCTTCGAATATGCTGTGTATTAACGGTTTTGACTCTTATAAATGTAAGTCATATTGTTTTGTTAATGGGAACTATATTTTTTTTATCTAATTAAAATTATTTGTACATAAATTTTACAAAATTTAAACAGAACTTATTTGAAGAGAAACATAACTTTATAGCATTGTACTTAAAATAAGAAATTTTTATTGTCTTAAATTAAAACTTAAAATTTAGTTTTGACATAAAAATAATTATGATACTTTCTGATTATCTACCCAACCTTTTAAAAAGTTGCCAGCAGTTGGTGACTAATTTTTTGCCAGCCTATGTTGTGAAAGACAACATCATTTTCAAAAGTATTAATGTACTAAGAATTATATAAAACAGCAACCAATTAACAAAATTAAAAACACAAGAACAGAGTAGTAGTTAAACAGTTAACTTCCCCCCCCTCCTTTTCTTCCTATGTACACAGCAGTTTGTTTACATTTTGATCAAGGAAGGAAAGAACTCTGCAAACTACTCAGCATAAACAAACGACACCTTTACTATATTTACTTATATACATACCCCAATTAGGTGCCATGTCAGAGAGGTTTAATCAAGCCATATTTAACAATCTATCAGTGATAGTTTCCATAAACTAGCAGGACTGGGACCAGAAGTTACTTCTATTCTTATGGGTATCGCAGTGCTGCCCATCGCAGTACCACCTATTCCACATCTACGATCATGGCCTTTATCTGCCTTATGATCTCTTGTTTAGTCAACCTCTGAATGTGACCTCATTGCCTGAGGAGTACATTTAAGATTTCCAGACACAGTTTGAAGTTATGCAGTGATTTTGCACAAAAGTGAATCAACTTTGTCACGAAAACAATGAAATAAACGGTCTGATATATGATATGAGAGCTACAGGATATCGATTCAATGAAGGTGGGAAGGTGTGGCTATGGAATGCAATTTCACAGAAAGTATTTTCTTCTAAAATTACAATTGCTTTGGGACAGTCCCTACACAATCCTAAACAGGCTGAATGATATCGTAGTTACTGCCCAGTGATTGTACTGCCTTGTTAAGGAGTTAGTGTTATGAATTTTGTATATATGTAAATAAGTTTAGTAAAAATATGTGTAAAATTGTAGTAGCTTTTGTATAATGTAGCAATGCCTGAAAATTCAAAGTTCTACCAGATAAATGAGATTACTGGGTCAGGTCTATTTAATGCTGAGGTAATCGCCCAATTGGTGATAGCACCAAGATTCCTTTGATTTTTGTTGGGTCCTTGTATAACTGCAATAGATCCTTATATGTAACTTTAACCATATATGCATTCCAGTAATCTGGAGAAATATAAGATACTGGAAATCCCTCAGTGACCTAGAGAAAACTATGTAACCCAGAGAAAGTATCAGTTCTTAGTTTTTATAGTTTACATTGGAATACTGAGATATCTCTATGCGAGCTTTGCTGTTTAGATGCATTTTGCCTTGTCTTGTATTTAACATTCTTAGTATTTTGAAGTTGTAACCGGTTATTCATTCAGTCAGTGTGCATTCACCCATATGCAACCCATATGCAAGCGTTGCATATGGGTTACAAACCCATATGCAAGCAACAATGCTTTGACATTAAACGTACTTGTTTATCTTTTGCATGTAAAAAGTTGATGAAGATAAACATGATGTTAGATTTTTCTTATGAGGAGTGAAATAAATTGAATTTGAAGTGTAGAAATGTCTGTATGATTTATTTCTTAGTGTTAAGCTGATTATAAAAATTTACTTGCTTTTTTTTAGACATGTTACTGGCATGATGAAGGGCTTTAATATATTGAATGGAGATACAGATCCGGGTGAGCATGCTTTACTTTTTTAAGTTTTGAAATCAAAATTGTCTTATGTTATTAGTGGATGTAGCTTCCAATTTATGCTCTGAGGGTAGTGTCTTCTGTAATATGGCCTCTCAAAATAGCAGCATTTAAATTTACCAGTGTTTGAAGTTACAGCTTGCTTGTCTAAGTACAAGGCATGCTGGTTTAATTTTTATAAAATTTCAAGCTACAGCTATCTAACTTACCATGCTTAATTTTTGCCTGTTTTCGTAGATTATTGTTTTCATCCTTAGCATGATATTGTGTACAGTATCTTTTTCTAAGGCATTGATGGTATTCTATTACTTACATTTGTTATAATATTACGAGAATGCTTGTCACATGGAATTAGTGTATTAGTAAACCTCTTGGGAAGGTCTATTATTATGTGCAGTAATAATTTTACATGAAGTTTTGTGTGGGAATCTGATGGTCTGAATTATTGGGGACACGCATATCTTAATTGGAATTCAAAATTTGCTCTTGTGGAATGGAACATATTGATTATAAAATTTTTTTAATGTCAGGAAACTGAACTTCTCCACAGTGCCCTTGCCAGGATTCGAATTTCGCACCTCTCGAATGAGTGAAGATTGAAATAATACAAAATAGCTTATCACCTGGGGTGCTTCAGCAGCTTATTAGAACTGCACCACATATCAACTGGGTTACAATTCCAATATATCTATGTAAAGCTACAGCACTAACTAGGTCAAAACTAACTGCTAGAAGCAGAATTAGCTTTCAGCACTTAACCAGCTGTGCCAACATCATGTGTTTATGTCTGTTCTTATCAGCGACTTTCTTGCTCTCGGCAGGTGATGGCAACAGCCGAGCTTGTATTATGAATCACACTGGTTATAATTTTACTTCTCATTTTACCATACTTCTTATTATGCCACTTGACATAAAATCTATATAAACTTCTAGACTGAGTACTTGATAAAAAGAGGCATAAAAGAACCAGCATAAAGCTAACTTTTACTAAAATTTAAAGAGGATTAGTGACATTTTATTTGAAATATGTTGAATTATTTTAAAGAATTATAAAACATAAATGCTGTAAGAAATTTAATAATTTAATGCTAATTATTTTATAAATTTTATGAAGTTTGTTGTAGTCTTGAGTTTTTTAATTATGTTAAATATTAGATTATATTTAATAGTAATAATTTATTCTGTATATAGGCTTTTATTCTTAGAAGTGTACAAAAAAGAGAAATTTGGACATAGATAATTACTTATTCCCATTTGATGATAACCCTTAAAGGTACTTAATTTCTATGTGCAGAAATGTGTACAAACTATGTACTACCAAGTCATCATATTAAACTTCTTTTAATAGTTAGATTAAATATTAGTTTATGTTTAATTTATAGTGCATCCTATAGAAATAAAATTCTAATTTTGTTTTGGGGGGGCATTCTAAATGTTTTTGTTGTTTTCTTAGAACGATATTGCAAAAATGAAAGCAGTTGCAGGGATACTTTCTTTTAATTTCTTCAATTCTGTTTGCTGAGGTCATTAATTTTTTTCATCAAAAGTCTGTAGAGATTCAATATTCAAAAGATTTGAGAGCCTTTTAGAATTTAAATACAAGTAAATTTAGTATTCATCCTCCCACTGGTAAAATGTAAATTTATTATTAGTGCAAAATTTGTTGGGCTTAAATTAAAGTAGGAATTCTTCTGCTGTGTGCTTTTATTTTTATTCTTCCCTTCAGAACCCATCTCTCTTCCCGATGTTTAATTGTGAAATGTTCTGTGTAATGCTGCATAAATATCTTATTATGAACATATATTTTGCTGACACTGTAATAGCCATTAATCTGTGTTTGATTTTAAAATGTTTTTGTTGCAGTGTTTTGGCAAATGGTGCGAATAATCCTCAATAAGCATGAATATGAGAGATACATGCTTCTTAAGAATATTCACACTGATATTGGACGTGGTAGAGCATGGTTAAGATCAGCATTGAATGAAAATTCATTGGAACGTTATATGCATATGATGTTAGCAGATATTTCGCAAATCAGGTAAATCATAATTGCATAAAATTTTCTTTGCTGAATTTGCCAGGGAAAAAAGTAATAAAAATATAGTAATTAAAAGAATGTAGCTACCAAAGTTATTCTTAAATAACTCTTTTTATTAATTGAAAGTAAATTCCATTGCACATTTGTGAATAGGATTAAAATAAAACACATGTAGTATTTAAAGTTATTTTTTAAAATGAAAAATAATGGAAAATTTTAGTTTTATTCATGTTAGTGGTGATGACTCATATGTTATCATTCAGCATTGGTATACTTCCTCTGCATTAATTAATTTTACCTATAATTCGATTTCCGGTGAAACAGCTTTTTTAATGGAGGGGTCTGTCTTGTGACAAAAATTTATTAGTTCATTTATGAAACCTTTGGTAAAATATTGTAACCTGTTGGAACAATTTAACCCACTTTAGCTGACTTTAAAAATTGTCCAAAAAATCCAGAGACAAAAATGTAAATAATTGATCATCTGACTTAACTAGATTTTGGATACTAGCAGAAGGTAAATGGCAATAGTTCTTATTTAGAAAATACGGATGAATGCATTGTATAGGCACCTGCAATTTCTTTTTCTCAATTTTCTCTGAACTTCTGGATGTGTATATCATTTGACACTTTGGTAATGAAATTATTAACAACATTAAGCAGCATGATGAAATAGATGTACTGTCTGACATTAAATATTTTATTATTTTTTACAACATCATACTCATTTTAATGGAACCCTTTTTTGATTTCATTTTTGTACAGTTGTATGCTGATACTTCTTCATTGAAAACAATTTCACAAAACTTTTACTGTTGTCGAAACTAGAGATATAAATACATTGTTGCCAACCAGTTTTTCCCTTAAGAAGTATTACATTAATAAATAATGTGTATTTATCTGGTAAAACATGAGTAATATTTAAATAAGAATAATGATGATTAAATGACAAATTTTATAAAGTTTATTGAATAGTTAAATAACTTAATGGCTACAAAATCAACAGAATACTTAAAAACAAATATATATCATAAACCTTATGATTTATTGGCACTTTGTTCATTTGGATAAGCTTGGAGTACTCTTTCCGATATTGTTTCTGTAAAGTTACAGTAAACTTTCTTGTAAAGAATGCCATTCTTTCATAGCACATGCTTTGAGATCTCATATCTTGCTTATTCTTGGAATAAGATTTCGTTCAAAATGAGAATTCATTAGTATTGCTGGAAGCTGTGAATTAGTGGCTCTATCACTCAAATTATGTCATTAAATAATCACTCAAATGAGCAAGAAAAAGTGGAAAATTAATTGAAAAGACTTACAGTGCATAGCAAAATTAATAGTCGTAAATAACCTAAGGAGAACATGGACATTAAGCAGATCCTTCATAGAGTTACGTAGGAAAAAAAATTATTTTTTACACTCGACTCATTTCACTTTTATACTGACTTCTTCTTGGTGCCGCGATTGGGGGGGGGGAACTCAGTCTAAGTACTTACTTCTTTCATCATAATCAAAATTTTAAAACTTTAAAATCAAAGAAAATATCCTCCCTGGTGTTTTGCTAAAAACAAAGGTTATTTATAAAAACCAAAATGCGAAAAAGGCACTTCCGCAACAAAATCATCAACACGCTATCTCTCACTAAAATAAAACTAAATCAGATGTCCAACCTGAAAACACATAAATCTCAATACAAAATCTAGAGATAGCCTTAAAACCAAAATTTAAAATGCAACACAGAACTCTTCAAAACACCAGAGAAGGATAAATCTCACACATAAGAAGTCTAAACACAAAATCAAAATAAATTAATTAGCCGATCATATAGTCACAACTCTTAAAACTGATTTTTCTACTACCGCAAGAGGGTTACCCAGGTTCGATAGAATAACCATGTTCTGTAAGGATCACATAGGTGACCTTCAGTAGACCACAGTTAAACTCAAAGAAACATACAATAATGAAAATAATAAACTCATTTATTAAATAATTCATATATTATAATTTAAAATAGCTGGCCAGACTACCCCTACAAAATCTTTTTAAAAGTTTTTTTTTTTTCATATCAATCTCATTTTAAACATTATTCCATTAATACAAAAATCATAGAGAAACACCTCATATTAATCTTTTAAATATGTACTCAGTTTAAACTCATGACAATTAAACATTTAAAAAACATAGCTAACACTTTCTCAACTATTTATTATTCGTAACACTCAACTATTGATTGATCTATTAACAGCAAAATACAAATTTTAATCTATATAAAACGTCGGCTAAGGCGTTAGAATTTAACTCTTCCCAAATCCTAACAATTACTTATAAATGAAAAGCAAAATAAAAATATAAATGTTTGCTCACTAATCCACATATACCAGTCTGAGAGCCTTGAGGAGCTGCCGGTATCCAGTCACAAAACGTCGAAACAAAACGGTCCAATTTCAACTTCATCGGTGTTCAGAAAACCAATACTGAAGTCTGTTCCAGGCACAGTCGAAATATTTTTATAATCCCCCTTCGTTGTTGTTAGGAAAACCAATACTGATGTCTGTTCAAAGCACAACAGGAATTTTTCTCATAGTTCCACTTCATAGTTGTCAGGAAAACCGATACTGATGTCTCTTCATGGCATAACGGGAATTCTCTCATCGCTAGTGATGAGCAACTTCGGTACTTTCTTGTACCTGGTACGAGAGTAACGAGGTAACGGGTACAGACAAGTACCCGGTACAAAATACCCGTTACTCAAGTAACCGTTACTTTGAAAAGAACCGAAAACCGATTTCAAGTACCGAGTACCCAAGTAACAATTTGGAGTACCGAAGTAACGATTTGCTGTACCAGAGTACCCCTAGTAATGGTTTGCTGTACCGGAGTACCCTAGTAATGATTTGGAGTGCCGAAGTACCCTAGTAACGATTTGGAGTACCGAAGTGCCCTAGTAACGATTTGGAGTGCCGAAATATGCAGCTAACGATTTTGCGCACTGAAGGAACTCTGCCACGTCACCACGTGTTTAATTTTATCTGTTCGGAGTAAGATTTTGAATATCAGAAAACATGTCAACTACGGAAGTGTCTGAGGAGCAGGAGAGCGCGGCGGGTTGTTTCTGGTGTTGGGTTTGTGTAGATTGTCTTTGATTTGTGTGATGGCCAGTGGGGGTTGGGAGGATTGGCGCTGGAGGTGGATGGATGGAAACATTTTCGCTTTCGGTTGTATCTTGTGTGCAGGTGCAGCAAAATCGATGGGTGCTCTATCAATTTCGTGAAAGGGGTCGTCCATAAATGATGTCACGCTTGGAGGGGGGTTAGTGAAATTGTGACAGTTTGTGACAAGGCGGGGGAGGGGGTAACAAGAAGTGTGACATCATATTTTGATTAAAAAATAAAAATGTTTAAAATCAGCAGATTGAATTTTGAAGTTATTTTAAAATTACCAAAATTTGAAGGTATTTCCTTAATTGGGGCGAAAGCAACTTTCATGTGATTTTTTTTTTTTACTTACATTCCTTTCTTTCCAAAAAAAAAAAAAAAAAAAAAAAGGCATTCAGAGTAGGTTTTGAGAATAGGGTAGCGGCAGAAATTGTAATTTTATTGCTATTGTGTATTAATTATGTTTTTTTGCTGTAAACTTTTCTCTTATTTCATACAAAATAAGTGCACGAATCATTATTATTGTTATATTTACAGATGTCATTAAAACATATAGTTTAAATTTAAAAATAAAGTCTGAAATATGATCTATAACGTAGTGCTACGTTTTTGAACTGCAAGTATAAGTTTACGTAATATTGCGTGACATGTGACAAAGGGGGGAGGGGTTATGTTGAAGTGTGACACTTTGTGACAAAGAGGGGGAAGGGGTCCAGAATGTTGCAGAAAGTGTGACATCATTTATGGACAGCCCCAAATGAGCATAGTTGCGTACTTGAAAAACGTTGGAAGATTTTCTTTGTATGATATTGAAGGAAGGGAGGTATGTTTTTTTTTTTTTTTTTTTTGGCTGTGTTGTGTTGTGTTGTTGGAGGGAAACAAAGGAAAAAAAATTGGAATAAATTTAAACTAGAAAATTAACTATAACTAGCTGTGTAGCAACCCGATAGGATGCAGTTTCCTAAGTAAATATCAGAAATTTAATGATCAATCTGTTTTAACATGATATTTTTTATTTATACAGATAAATAACATACCACAGAAGTCGTTTAATACCTTCAATTCGGTAGTAAAGGGCATAGGGGTGCGTAGGGTCTAGAAATTAAAATAATCACAAACCTTTATCCCACTTATAGATAAGATAATGACCTTCAGTACCACTGCGAAATAAAACTTATTCAAGCTACCAAATTTTAAAAAAGATAAATCTCTTATTCTCTACTCTCCCCTATATATATTAAAAATTCTGAATAAAAAAGTAAGATAATTTAAACATTAAATATAACATAAATGACCTTGTGTGTTTAATTGTACAATACTGGCATAAAATAAAATTTACACATTTATTCATATACACATGGTTGAAGAGCTTTTCTTTTCCACAAAAAAGTTTTATACTGTTCCTTTTTAAATTACATTTAGGTTTATTTTGAGTTAAATTTGTACTTTTGGAGATTTGGCACCGTACAATAAACAACAAAATGATTAGAAATATTTTTAAAAACAAAAAATATGATTTTAAAAAATGCATAAACATATATATTTGATTTAAACATTTTGAATTACAAAAAGCACTAGAAAATGAGGTATGTTTTGAAAAGAGAGATAATGTAATATATTTGGATGTACTACAGTAATAAGTAAATTTCAGCAAAATGGTTAAAAATATTTTTAAAAACGCACAATATGATTTTAAAAGGCACATTCAATATAACAATTTTGGATTGAAGATTATCAAAAAAAACACTAGAAAATAAGATAGCAAAGGGTTTAAAACTGTGAGAGCGCAATACCTGGATGCAGTAACTGCTGTAAACACAAAAATGCAACAGAATGGTAAAA